TAAAAATCTCAAAATATGGAGGGCCTGACATTTCGATCCTTGCAAAATCTTTCTCAAAGGCATTTGGGATTGAAATGTCAGGCCTTCCATATTTTGAAGTTTAAACAAAGTAGTATTGAGAATTTTGTAATAACACTTTGTTAGACCCTGCTAGGTTCAGTATGGATATGATTAATTCATTTCTACCATGCATGCAATGATTCAAGATCACAGGAGCAGTCATAGTCGAAGAATCTTTTTCTTATCTAGAACTCTGCTTTAAGAAAACATTCACCTACTAGCATTGCAATAAAATGGCTGTTATTGTGCATGTGTATACAAAATACTACTGGTACCTTTTGTTTGCATGAGCAAGGCAAAACTTGAAAGGCAACAGTGCCCTGCAATACATTGTATGTTTTGTCATAAATTCCACTGTTTGACTGTGGTTTCCTGTTTACATAGCTAAGAATGTTTTGCTGAAAGTTTGGAAGGTACACTTTACTGTATGTACGTATGTGATTTAAACTTTTTTTTCCAGCAAGTGCTCACTTTAGTGTTACACGTGCATTTGCCTCTGTATGTTTCAATTAAAGGAAAGTTGAACAGGTGTTTTCCAACATCATACATACATGTAACTTAATTCGAATGTAGATTACGTTTTGTGAAAGAGTGAATTCCCGCTGAAAACAAAATTACACCCACAGCATGTCCAAGATTGAGCACCTGCAAACCAAGTCTTCATTCATCACCTATGCTTTAGTTGTACATTTGTGAGGTTTTCATTCCCCAACCTATAGGCCTAATGTGCATATACAAAGTGTGAAATCCCTGGAAATGTCTGTAAATGGCACGGGTAGGCCTACTGTACGTATGCAGGTGTCACCCCCAGGTGGTCAATGTGTATGTTGACCTACATTACATTTCCCTGTTCTGACAGATGTTGAGTGAATGTATAACTGGTACACAAATGCAGAAAGCAGCTTATCGCTCCACAGCCTGCGAGACAGTGATCAATCCATTTGTTGGTGATTAAAGGGAGAAGAATTAAATCAACAGCTGTGAACAATGGACTTCATCCGGTAGACCAGAACAGATTACAAGTTAATGTAGATGTTCATGTATATATTATAGGGTTGTTGCAGGAAATTTGCTCACAAATATGTATATTTATTTTGTTCAACTTTCTGCTCCTCTGAAATGTAATAAAATTGTTAGAAATCTCCTTATGGTACTGCAATTGAAAAATGCACGTTTTTAAACAATTAAAATTTTCAATATGTTTTCTATTTTGAACAATTTAAAGATGAAATATCACTTGTGACATTTTTTATCTGTCGCATTCAGCTGCTTGCTGTTTCCCCAAGGACATGAAGGAGAGGTCGTACAGTACATGTACATGTAAGATCACGGCCAAGTCATTGCAGAACACAAGCAGCATGTACGTGTACATGTACGTGTATAAGTGTACAACAAGTGCATCACATTTGATAGCCATGATTGACATGTTGAACAGACTGCATGTACATTTACCTGTGTTGAAGGGGTCCATGGTGTTTTGTACACCTGAGGAGGCAAATGGCACTTGAGGCAAAGCCAAGGGTGCCATTTGCCCCTGAGGGTGTACAAAAACCCATGGACCCTGTCACTGCAGGCTACAGTTGTTTTGTTATACCATGGTCATAGATTTCACTGGAATGATCTTGTATCGGTAATTTATTGCAAGATACGTGTAAATTAAAACACATTGACAAATTGAAACATGTGAACAGTAAATTAGATCTAGATTTGAAGGAAAATATTTGATTGTTTTTATGTTTTTTGCAGGAGGGGAGAAATCTAGGATTTATAACAAACTTGTTCACCAGAGAAACTTGTGATCCATAAAAGATTGGGGCTTTGTGTAGTGGTTGAATTTCAAGATATTGTTTGGGTAATTTCATGAGGTTGGGGCACAATTTGTGACTGTGTCCTTGTTACATGGGTAACTTTTACCACCTGTAGAGTACGGTTGGTCATTTACTCTGTAAAAATAACACACATGTCTGTATTCTACCTTGCAAGATGTATAACAATGTCAATGTGGAATTCACATGCTGGGAAATACATGTAGCTGTTCATTTTAGCGGAACCCACGTAACAATGAACACCGTCACAAATTGTGCTCCAACCTCATGGAATGATCCATTTACAAACAAGATCCGTTGAACAGTATGGAAAAGCAAGAGTACACATGTTCGTGTACAATGGCATGAGTTTTAAACGGCAATGACATTCACAGCAGAAGCAGTGATCAGAGCATACTTGTGTTCCACAAGCGAAGTAGTACACCGCGGCTATTTACCCTCGTACATGTACCCAAGGTCACACAATTACTACGCAGTCGACGCGACACATCAACTCAATGAAAGATCACTGTGATCCATCATTTTTGTGGCCCGGCAACATCGCCAGTGCGTGCGATGCTTGAATGTTACATGCGTGCTTGTGAGATATCACGTGATCAGTTCATGATCAATAAAAATTCACCATCTATGACCCTGATATAACAAGTATGTGTGTACTTGCACATGTACTGGTGTGCAAGTGACTAAAAAAAATGTGAGGAATGTGCATTGTACACTTAAAAAGGCTTTGCCAAAGTTTTTCCATATGTAATGAGTACATGTTCTTGGATATCCGAAATCCAACCAAAAAGATAGATACCTGCTTCCATTTGATTTTTTTTTTTTAATTTAGTTATTCAATTTTTTTGCCAGAACTAGTGCAAAGTCTGAAAGAACCTCTTGGGGCATTTTGGAAACGAGTGGATTCAGCTTAAAGTTCAGGTTCTCTAGTTCCAGTAGTTTTGAAGCAGAGTTCAAAACCACATGTTCAAGCTCTGACTGAAACCAGCGAAACCGAAGTCTAAGCCATATCGACTCCTTTTGAAAATGCCCTATGATTAGTCAATGCAGTGTTTTCATCCATCGCTAAAAATATCAGTAGAAATGCAGTAATACCCAAATACATGTACATTCATACTGTGCCTATGTTCGAAATAGCTTCCAGCTTACCGGTGCATGTATTTCAATTCCCAGATCAAAACACATCAATGCACTCGGGAGACTTGTGCTATATGGTACAGTTAATTGGATGGCATTGCTGTTGTCATAGAGGAAGGACAATAGACCTCGCCCTCAGCTCTGTCCACCATCAGGGCAAGGCCCTTTCCATTTTCAAAGGCATAGTTTAACCATGAGCAGTTTACACGTATATTATTTTTGGAAGACAAGATGTACATGTATTGTAATGTAGGTCAACATACACATTGATCACCTGGGGGTGACACCTGCATACCTACAGTAGGCCTACCTGTGCCATTTACAGACATTTCCAGGGATTTCAATGTACTCGTGCATACGTGTACATGGTTCACTTTTACAGTACATTCTGATTCTGGAAAATCATTTGTTTGATATTTGTACAGTGTTTCTTATTGCAACCTCAGCACTCTAAGGCCTTATGGGTGGGGTGCAGGTGGCCAGGTGGTTAAAGTTTGTGACTCCTGACCTGAGTGTCAGGGGTTCATGTCCACCAGCTGGCCATAGCTTCAAGTTGCCCGTCTCAGCGTGGGATTGGCACTATACATGTAGCTTGCAATAGACTGGCAGCCCATCCAAGGAGGAGTAGACATACACGATGTACTCTCACTCTCTGTATTCTCAATGTACCATATTTCATGGCTGGGAAGGAACTTGATATCTCAGGCCCTGCCACAGAGCAGTATTTAAAACAAAAACAGGTTGCTGGTTACTGTGTGTGTATACCTTGTAGCAGTCAATTTGTAGTTCAGCTAAGTCTACCAAAACAAACTTCTCATAAAGTTGTGTTGCTTGTACAATGTATGTGTATGAAACCATGGAGGTAGGAGATTTGTGATGATAGTAAGGAAATGTTCAACGGTTGAACCAGTCAGCTGCCCCAGCATACATGTACATTGATCGACAGATTTTGTGAACCCTTCCTTAAAACTGGTCCAGTACACTTTTATGTTCTTGTTCTTGTTCAAACCACCAATGTGACAGGTGACAGGCTCAGAGACCAATCAGAGTGTGTGAACCATCTTTGGTACTGTTTGAATCAGTGTTTTGTGTGGATGACTGTTGAGACAGCTAGTCATTAATCACTGGCACCGTCCCAGTGCATTTTTTGGATTTGTTTGTTATTGTATTTTAAGGCATGATTTTACCAGAAATTTGTCTTCACTGGTTTCCTTTGGCATAGAGCATGCACGTTCAACATACAGTACATGTATGCACTTGAAACAGTCCTTTAGGTTCAGGCATAACCGGGAACTGACCTGGAGACTACAATCAACTCATAGAGAGAGGGTGTCATTTCGGGAGCGGAGTCTGCTCGGACGGGGCATGATTTTACCCAAAATTTTTCTTTACAGGTTTCCTTTGGCATAGAGCATGCACATGCAACATATGCGCTTGAAGGCATTAACGAATGTCTCACTCCTTAACATATTGTTAACAACCACATCATTTCGAAATGGTTTGCTGTTAAATGTCCCTGCACACCATGTGTATTTCACTCCATCACTGACTCTGCAAAGCTGAAGAAGTCATAATCAATAATTCTTGTTGTTTTTTCACCCTGTCTCTACAGAGAATCAACTGAGTTGATAAGTTTGACCACTGATCTTCACAGGACGTATCACAGCTTGAAGACTGCACCATGAGCTGTCCGTTCATGTCAGGAGAAAGGTTGGTTTGAAACCCCCCATGTAATACATGCATGACTTGCGAAACCAATTTTTACTTTTTTATGGTTTTCTGGTAATTTTTTTTATAATTCCAATTAAAATTACATCCTCTGACAATACACCAAGGCACATTTGCTCATAACCATTTCTCTGTAGATGTCATTGAACTGTTCATCTTTTTTACATATTTATATATCAAAAGTTGCGTCTATCAGTTTGTACACAGTTTTTCTTCCTGTATGTTATCTGAGAATAATCTTGAAAGATTCGTGTGGAAGATGAAATTCCCAAATATGTCAGATTTAACCTTTAAAATTTTTGGTAGATTTTAGTGTCATTCTGCACAAGGGAATGTAAAACTCAGCACTGAAAAGTGAAGTCCGCAAATGGATCAAAATTTATTGTAGCCCTGAACCCAATCAGTACATTACCATCATAAGTAAGTCAATGTTTGACGTGCTGTACATGTGGATAGCAGGGTTGGTCAAATTAAATCACCTTGATTTGAATTACCAATTTAAATTGTGATTTAAATCAAATGATTATTTAAAAAAACACTGATTTAAATCAACATTTTAAAATATTTATTTAAAAGGCAAAACTGTTGCAACTTTATATTTGTTTCAGCCGATTTATGACTTTTTCTAGGTTTGTCACATTTGAAATGGCAAATAACCTTTTGTGAGCCTTTCAGTTCCAACTATTGATAAGAAACATGCAAACATATGTTGCACATGGTCTGGGTTGGCCGGATTTTTCGGTTCTGTTCAATCCACCAGTTGTTACTGGTATTTAAATCAGCTATTTAGATTCGGTGGGTGAAGATCATGGAAGGATTTAAAATCTTGATTTCATTTTATTTCATTCCATTTCAAAATTTCCACTTCTGAGTTTAACATGGTAAAGTATCAGTCTATCTTTCATCTCTACAACTGCGCATGTACATGTGTTTTATTGAGATTGGAAATGTTGGTCATTGTACAGTTGAACCAAAATGAGTAATAACACGTTCTTAATAAATGAAAGGAGCTACAACCAAACAAGACTGGTTTTTGCACACATTAGAGCAAGGTAAAATACCAGCATTTTGTCACTTACTGGTCAAATTACTGGTATACCTGTACATGCATCAGTACAGTAGAGTTCCCTGTAAATAAATTCCTGTGAACTCTAGTTTGTCAAATCTCCAAGCCCTGTTTAAAATGTGGCACTTTACCCTTAGAACCTGTCTGAAGGAAATGTCTTCTCTGTACATGTAGGTGTTTTAGTGCACGCATGCTATCCATTTACTTGATTTAAAGTTCTTGATTTAAATACAAATTTGTTAATTTTTAATGAATGGAATAAAAGAAAATTAACCCACCTACAAGTAAGTTTGTTTGCTTTGCAATAGATAATTAAGCTGACTAGTCCGATCATAAAAACAAAAAAAACTTGATTTAAGTTTTAGAAATCTGATTTAGTTTTTAAAAATCCACTAAAAAAATAGAAAAAGAAAAATCCAGTAAAAAACTTGCCAACATGCACATGTAACTTCTCGTTGAGAGGAAGGACAGATTGAAGTAAGCTATTTGCACATTATCCCTAACCCCTAGGCTCCTGCACTAGAAAGCATACTGAACCTCACAAAATCCAACAGGTTCATGTACTTGTTTATGTACTTGTAC